AAGGATGTTTTTCAGCACATGCATGGATTTTTGAAAAGGATGACTTTTTTAACCCCACTCTTACACTCAAACAACCATTTAAAACATGCTGAACTTGGACAACCATTTAAGACTATTATTGCAAGAAACAGACTTCTTTTCATTCCCAAAGTAAGCAACCTCTCACTATCATTACCACCAATTATAGATTTTGTTAAATGAGAAAAATACAAGTATATAAACTCAAATAAACTATGTGGAAAACTATGCACAAAGTGCAAATCTGAAGCATCTCTGCAAAGAGCAGAACAGAAGATGTCATGGAGATCTTTCACTATTTAATAAATACACTTGCACATTTGAATTTTTCAAAAATACACGTTCTTATACGATTGTGTAATGGTTTTTTTAAAAAATATATATATATATATTTTTTTTAGTTTTGTTTTCGGCGGACACAACATCTTTGTTTGCAAGTGGTGCTGAGGATCGAACCCGGGCTGCACGAATGCCAGGCTAGCGCGCTACCACTTGAGCCACATCCCAAGCCCCTGTGTAATGGTTTTAAATTAAATGTATTTACAATACATATTGAATAAATTTTATGATAAAAAAGGCAATGTTAGCTAAAAAGATGAACTATCAAAAAGAGGCTAGCGGCTTCCTGAGGCTAGTGGCTCAGGAAGCTGAGGCAGGAGGATTCTGAGTTAAAAGCCATCTTCAGTAATATAATGAGGCCAACTAAGCAACTCAGTGAGACCCTGTGTCTAAATAAAATACAAAATAGGGATGGGGATGTGGTTGAGTGCCTCCAAGTTCGAACCCTGGTACCCCCACCGCAATAAAAGTTCAACAGGCAATTCTAATATCACCATATCACATACAGAAAACATCAATCTCAATTGAACTTTACAGCAATTGAACATTTATAAGCCCGGCAAGCCAAGTATTTTAGACCATTCTAATAGATGAGGAAAAAGAGGCTGAGAAAATTTAGTAGCTTTTTAGACAAATGCACTGATTTTTTTTTTAAGATGTTCTTCTCTTTCACCTTTAAATCATATGATTTACAGCTGAACACAGGCAGTGTATGCTCATAATCCCAACTACTCAGGAGGGGAAAACAGGAAGATTACAAATTCAAGGACAGCCTTGGCAACTTAATGAGACCCTGTCTCAGAATTTAAAAATGTAGCTCAGATAGAGCACCCCGTGGTTCAATCCCCAATACACACACACACACACACACACACACACACACACACACACACACGAGATATGATTTAGTTGTAAAACTTTAAAACCAAATGTATGTAATTACATAATACAGTTATCCAAGAAAAACAAAAAGCACTGAGTTCAGGAAAAAGAAAACTACTGGTCAAAATATAATGAATTAAATAAAAGGAAATTTATGTTTATTATTTTCTCCCCGTGACTGAAATGTTTAATGATTTCTCAAAGACAGTTTATCTTAAAATAGCAGCCAACCAAAATCTCAGTTTTTAGGTTTCAAGTCACTATATGAGAAGGTTGTTCACAATATAAATGTGTCCATTAAAAAAAACCTGAAGTTTAAAGGACTTAAACAAAATATGCCGATCACGATGGGTGGACATACCATCTACGTTTAAGTCTAAGGGCTAGTTATACAGCTGTAACTAGTCAATTTAGCAAAGTTTCAGCTGTGGGCTATAAATAACAGCTGCAAAACTGACTCTAGTGGCCCAGAGTTCACCAGCTATTTAAAAGGCATAATTTTACAATCCAAGATAGGACAAGCGATAGGGAGTCGTTACAGCAGTCAAGACAATATTTTTTTCCTAAAAGAACTGAGCCAAATGATAGAGAAAAAAGCCTTTCCAAATGCACAGTAAGTTGAAAGACACTGAATACCCACTGAAGGAAGTAAGTTCTGGAAAAGGTTAAAATGTATCTGAGATTCATTAATTGAAAGCCAGGTATTTAGCTCTTTCAAAATATAATTTATGGTTGACGAAATCACAATTCAATAGGAACCAAACTATTTAGCTTTCATGCTGAGGGTTGCTTTGGGAAAAAATACTTTTTAAAATGCGTGCATTTAAAATAATTAAATTCATACATTTTAACTGGAAGCTAACTTCAAAAATTATCCCCAAACTGAATCATTCCTTTTCATCTCCACATTAAACAATTGCATCCTCTAAGATACAAGAACAAAGCATAAAACCAAACACACGTAAGAGACCTGAATATCGGGACTACTAACATTAAAACCATAACACTAGTAAAGGCAACTGAAAGTTAAAAAACAAACTGGGGGGTGGGGTACAGGTTACTGAATCCAGGGATATTCTACCACTAAACTGCATCCCCAGCATTTCTTAGTTATTTTGAAACAGGGTCTTGCTAAATTGTCCCAGCTGGCTTTCAACTTGCAATTTTCCTGCCTCAGCCTCTCAAATCATTGGGATTACAGCCATGTGCCACTGAACTTGGCTTAAAAGTAGAAATTTTAATTCATATTACTTAAAATTTTAATTCATATTACTTAAAAGATCCCACTGAAAGATGTCTTGAGAAAATAAAGCAGTCACTATTTGAAAAGGACAACATAATAGACATTCTCTTGCAAAATAAAGATGACTGGTATTTTCTCTGAATTTACATATTTTTCTCCAAATCTTTAAGTGCACTGAGATTTGTCTGCCCACTATCAATCAACCAACAGCCATGCAGCTTACAGCTTCTCCAGACATCAGCACAGGTAATGCCCAGTTTCACCTTAATTAGGTGGATATTCCAAAGATAAAAAGTTCTACATGCCACAGAAACATAAATCTCTCATACATGAACTCAACTGAAATAATGCAAAACTGAAATGTACTTATCCTATTTTTAAAATAATTCCTACCATCAAAATCTTCAAATTGTTTATAATTTAAAATTCGTCGGCACTTATTCATAAGAAAGCCATTACATGTTCTAATAAAATATTAGTTTTGAAACTATGCTTTAAAAACTTTATAATTCCATTAGCTTGAGCTGGGTGAACATGAGACATGATATAAAACAGGAGCAATAACTACAAAATACAGATCTACCAGAGGAATGTCCACAGACTCCACACAATCAATCACAGGAAGCAGTGTACTTCCATTTGAACACCAGTTTCTCTATCTCCAGTTTCTCAACATATTGAAAAGATCTTTGTGTGTGTGTGTGTGTGTGTGTGTATGTGTGTGTGTGTGTAGTGCTAGGGATTGAACCCAGGGCATGGGAGGCAAGCACTTTGCCAACGGAGCTATAACCCCAGCCCCCTGAAAAGATTCTTATTGGCCATAAAAGAAATCCTCAACAACAAAGTGATTCAGTTTTGAACTAAAGAGCATTTTGAACTAAAAATGACTTTTCTCACAGGACAAAAATTCAATAAGCATCTCACACCTGGTCAACATTAAGAAAAAATGCATCCAAATTGTGTATATGATGGTGCATGCCAATAACCCAAGATACTCCATAGGCTAGACAAGGGGATCACAAACTGGAGGCCAGTTGGGGCAACTTGGTGAGACCTTGTTTCAAATTTAAAAAAGGGGGTTGGGAAATATAGCTCAGTGGTCAAGTGCCTGGGCTCAAACCCAGTTCAGGTAGGGGAAAAAGTATCCTATAAAATAGAAATACTAAAGTTTGCATTTAATCCAGTAAAAACAGTTTAGAAAGTTCAATGTTAATAAGCAAAATAGTGCATTTAGTTTTCTTTTTTTTTAATTTTTTTTAGTTATAGGTGGGCACAATATCTTTATTTTATTATTTTATTTTTATGTGGTGCTGAGGATGGAACCCAATGCCTCACGCATGCTAGGCGAGCGCCCTACCACTGAGCCCTGCATTTAGTTTTCAACCTGAATACTCCCACATATTCATCTTAAATTCTGCATATGGCCAAGGAATATTTTGCCAGTAACTTGTACTCCTACCTCCAAGTTAGAACATTAATGAAATCTGACATCCCATTCCATTGCTAATCCCAAGAACTGGGAACATGGTAAATGCTATACTTCATTATTTTTTCCTTTTCTTTTTTTTAATTGATTAAAAAAAATAATGACAGCAGAATGCATTACAAATCTTATTATGTATACAGCACATCTTTTCACATCTCTGATTATATATAAAATATGTTGACACCAATTTGTGTCTTCATACATGTACTTTGGATGATGATGTCTATAACATTCCACCACTATACTTCATTTTTGAACTACAGGAGTTATAGGATCTAAGAATGATTCTGCATGAAATACACAGTCCTATTACAGAGTTCTACAGAGTTCTAAGTCTTTCCTTGCACCTTGACTCAACAGTAGCAAATGGCTATTCTAAGTTAAGTGACCAACACACCCTTTGAAAACTGGTTTCAAATTGTTTTGAAACTGAAACACACACACAACACACACACACTTATATATGAACTGAATGAACATTATCAAGGGAAAACACCACCTTGTAGGAATTTAAATCTATAATTACAAACAAAATCCTTTTATCAAAGCCACAAATTATTTCTTGAGGTGTTCTGCCAAAAGTTCAACACAAAATAAGTTTGAGGATCCAGTGTCTTAACTCTATACTTTATATTGGCTTCATAGCCTTGAAAAAGAGCTTACTGTAGCAACGCAAGTTTTCTAAACCAAAATGTACCTCAGCAACTGAAGTGTTTTGCATCATCTTTAAATAACATAAAAATCCCTTAGGCAAAGAAAGGTACACCTTTAAATTTACTTTGCAGTTTTGTTTCATGTATGTAAAAGTTTCTACTACAAATAAATCCATTACTTGGCTTCTACAAAGTACTGAGATAGTCAAAGTTTCATCAAAGACATTACACTATGGTTAATACATTTCAGCATACTTGATGCTAGCGCCAAAACAAGGAATTAACCAAAGTAAAGCAAAAATCTACAATATTACAAAGAAAAATCCAAGACAGAGATTAGAAGAATTTTAAAAAGAAAATAATCTGAAAGGCAGCTCACCTGCAGTTAGGTGGAGGGTCTAAAGTGATGTCTGCCAGTTCCTTCTGAATCCTGGAGTCAGGGAAATGAGAAAGAGAAAACGCGCATTAAGGCCTTGCAAGCCTCCCACCTGTAACTACAGGTCTGGCAGACAGACCTAGCCACGATAATTGGATTCCACTGGGGAATGAGGAAAAGACACATCAAAAACTCAGGTCTGGGACTGGGAATGTAAGTAAGGGATAGAGCACCTGCACAGATGCGTGAGGCACCGGGTTCAATGAGGGGTAGGGGTTGGGGGTGGGGTAGAGGGCAGATCTGTAATTTAGGAAAAAAACTTTTTCCCCCCCAGAAGCAGTGAAGCGGAAATCTGAGGTCTCCTGCCATCACCTACAATGTGTGGGTTCCAACTTCGCCTCCTACATTTGCCGTTTTCCATTTGGGAATCATTTTAAAGATTCCCACTTGCGAGCGGGGCTAAGAAGTCCGAGGCAGGAGGATGGCAAGTTCGAGGCCAACCGGGGCAACAAGGCGAGACTGAAGTCTCAAAATTTAAAAAGGGAAAAGAAAAAAATATGAGGCGGGCTGCACCCTTCGTGATCGATCGAGTGCTCGCCTAGGAGGCACAAGGTCCAGCATTCAATTCCCCGAACCGCAAAAACAAACAGCCCCACTTGCGGAGCAGTTCCCCGATTCCTCCTTCCCCGCTCCCCCTCTCCCCTAGGACAGAGATCACAGCCTCCGTGGGTGGGAAGGTCGCGACCCTCTGGCCTCCCCGCCCCGGGAACGCGCCGGTCCAGCCCTAGCCTGGCCCGACGCCCTCACGTCCGGCCCGGCCCGGCAGGGCGCCCCCAGCAGGCCGAGGATCCCAGGACCCGCCCGGCACCGGCCCGAGTCCTCGGTGACGAAGCCAACATGGCGGCTCCCCGCGAGGCCCCTCGGGCCCTGACTGACCTGCCAGGCGTCGCGCACCCTCGGGGCTGGCCGCTCGGCAGCCGCCCCCGCGGCGGGTCCCTCCCACCCCTCCAAGCGCACAGACGGCGCGCGCAGCGCGGGTGAAGTTGCCAGCCTCAGAGGATGGGGTGCCCGCGCGGAGGACGCTCCGGGTGCTCAGCGCCGCCCGGAACCTCGGCCCCGACGCCACGCGTCGGCCCGCAGCACCCGCCCGGGCCGCACAGGTGCACCCGCGCCGGCCTCCGCACGCTCGCTCAGCCCACCTCTCCAGACCTGCCTTTTCCTGAAGTCCTAACTTCTTGGAAGGCCTGCCCTTTCCTTCCCTGTGGACGCGGACCCCGGACCCCAGTTTTCTGCCCAGGCACCAACCCTCGACTTCACAAAGGGTCCCATCCCCCACTCCTAGGCCGAAGCCACCAGGCAGTTCACACCAAGCCCTGGCCTTTGTCTTCTGCTTACCTAGGCGCTCAGAGCATCCATGAATGGGACAAACTTGGGGCCTAAGAGCCTCTGCCACTTCTAAACGCCGCCTATTTTTTATAATCTTTTCTCCCATCATATAAAGCCCTCGGGGCTGTGTTACAACTTAAAAAATCTCACCATGGCAGGATGGTAGTAAAAACAAGAACAAACATACACGCTAGGCAATTTGAATGACAATGATGCTTTTCTCTTTCCAAAGGTTTTCGGAGGGTAGGAAGAGGCCAGCTATATGCATGAGGTTTTAAAAGGCGCTATTTCTTCCACGTTAAAGTAAAAAAAAAAAAAAAATTAAGGGCGACGACTGAGGAAGTTCTTTCAACTTTCCTATTGAAGGATATTTCCTGCCCCCTACAAATCTGGTCAGTTTAAGAAAGGGGTTTTTTCAGTCTCTACTGTCATCTATTTACCAGTGTCCTGCTAAATTCCCCTGCTACCAATAAGCATTTCAATTCAAAGACAGTGGCATCCCTGTTGTTTAACTCATTGAATGTTAGATTTAAGAGTTCCAAATCCTGGCTTCCTGATTCCCTACTTGCAGCTTTTAGAATTGGCTGTAATTGGTTTTTTGTTTGTTTTGCAGTACTGGGGATTGAACCCAAGGGGGCTTTACCGCTGAGCTATAACCCCCTTTTTAATTTTTATTTTAAGACAGGATCTCTCTAAATTGCCTGGAATTTGCAATTCTGCCTCAACCTCCCTAGTTGCTGGGATTACAGGCATGCATCACCGCAGCCAGCTGAACTGACTGCATTTTTAAGACCTAGGTATGAAAAAATGTCCTCTCCCTCGGGTCAAATAAGGTAATCACTTCCTTAATACCTAAAAAGTGTATTACCAGACAGCTTTATGCACTTCATCTTGACAGCCAGCATTTGCACCATTTCCAGAGTGCTGGCCAAAGATCTGCAAGAGGAATACATGCATATGTCCCAGGGAATGAATCTTGTTCAGAACACTCTCCATAGGGGCTTTCCTCTCCCCGCCCCCCCCCCATAGTTTAGAAACCACTTTCCAATGTGCAATGAGTAACCCGTTAAGTCTGCCAATTCAGTCTTGTTTTCACACCATCTCTTGGTAAATTTGTCTCTTCCAATTCTATGGCCAATAACTATCTTCCAAATCAATATATTTCACAAAGCACCATCTATAGGATCCCACTAACATCAATTTTCCTCTTTTACTCTTTCCTGGATATACTGTCTCTCTCCACCTTTTGCCTTTTGATATTAACCTTAGCTCTGCTTTAACACAAATAGTCACTCTTTCAGCAAATTCTCCAGGCAACTAAATTCACTGCATAAAAACAAAACTGATGTTAACTTATAGGTAAAATCACTATTTGAAGCTTCTCATCTCTTTCCCAGCCATTCCAAATAATTTTTTAACCTCCTTTGCCTAAATGAGCAAATTGAGTCTAGGGAAAAATCCTCCTCTTTGTGAATGCTAACAAAAAGGACACTATATTTTATTTGGTGCCTATGCCTTTACCCCCAAATGTATTCATGTACAACAGGGATACCCAGCAAAATATAGAAAAAAAAAAAATACTAATGACCTAAAGCAGATATCATACATTGGGGCAGGTCAGGCCAAAAGCAGCCTGAGGATAGGGAGCTTAGAGGCTTGGGGGAGGGGTAATTGTTAAGAAAAGGACCCAGCCAGAGTGGATAGGGTAGAGATGCCAGATTCCCGGAGAACCCACTCAGAGCTAATCAAAAAGGGCCAGTTAGGACTCCTGGGAAGATGAAACATAATCAAATTAACCTCCTGAAAATGACAGCAATCTTCCAAGTCATGCCATTTCACCCAAGAACTTCACACTGTTTAAAATAAGCTAAAGTCACTACATTGGCCCACAACTAGGTCACCAAAACAGTTTACTAAATTTTCCAAGTCAGGGGAAATGACAGAACTCAAACTCTCAGGCTCACAACTCTTCTGAAAAATCCCTTTAAGAATGGAATCCTATCTAACCCAGCATTTGGATTCCTTTCGGTCTTCACAGCTTGCCACTTTAAGGTTTAACAACTATTTAACTGAGAACAGGATTTACGAAAGGGTGTCTGGGGGTTCCTAGAAATCTGCTATACATTATTTTAAGGGTCATGGGCATCAGAAGATGTTACTTAAGGATGATGGTGGTAAAAAAGTAGCTACCACTACGACAAGAGAAGAGGAAAGGAATAAAAAAGCCACTACTTGAATTCAATTGAAAAAAAGGGAAGGGGTGAAAATTTCAGTTTTACAGCATGAGAGCCAATGGCACCAGGAGGAAAAGTCTCCCTGAAATTTGGCAAGTAGAAATTCTTAGAAAAGAGTCACAAAAACAACGAGGAACAACCATTTTACAATCATTTACTGGTTGATTCATTTGCGTCAACTCCCCAAGTCGGAAAAATCTCTTAAAATTCCATCAGAAAACATCACCTACTAAATTTTTTGCCTGCTCATGTGAGCTACTCATTCCTTTTGCAATTTGTGGAGAAAGCACTATGCAAAAAAGATCATCCCTGCAACAGGTGACGAGGAAGTAAGATGGTCATAGAATTCATTTAGACAGGACTTGTCTGGGAATGTGTTAGTAATTAAGAAGTGGGATGACAGCCTTGGAGAGGGTAACAGATCAGTGACCCGAAATCAAATTTGAGGGTCACTAACAAAAGTAACGCGGACTCTTACAAACTTCAGCAAGAAACTCAAGCAGCAAGCCACAACAGCTGCATGTGGACAATTATTAAAAGTAAAACAGAAGAGGCAACAGAGAAAATAATTAGGGCTTCCATGGCCCCATTTTCATTTTTGAGAACACATAAACTATGAGGAGCACTTAAGCTACCCTCACTGGGAGGCAGATCAAATGCAGTACGAGGCAGTTCGGAAGACAGGAAGCCTGTAGGGGGGGTGGGGAGGGGATACGGTACCTCTTGGCGCTGGTGGAAAGGAGCTTGGAGTTTTTGCTCATGCTGACTTTACTCTCCTTCTTCTTGGGGGTGTTTGTTTCTTTCTCGGTTTGCTGGTTGGAGGACGAAGATGAGGAGGAGCTGGTGCTGGCCCTCGAATCGTCATCCGACATAGCGAACCCCCCACCCCACCCCGCAAACGGCCCCTGCAGGGGGAGGGAAACAAAACAGAAACACACAAACCATGCAGGCGGTGTAAATAAGGAACTCGGCTGCTGTCAGGAGGGCACAGACCCTGGCTGCACCCGTCCGCCCACCACCCGCTTTTCAAAGTCTCCAGGCCCATTAAAGCTTTTGCAAATCGGTCGTGGCTTGTTTATTTTTGGCCCCAAGTGAAGGACACGGTGGGAAAACGGTCTGGAGCCCTGCAAGCAGCCCCTCCCTCGCCCCCCGGGGCTCCCCACCGAGCTGGGAGGGAAAGCCGAGGTGGTGGAGGAGGACAGGGGCGCGGGGTGCCTCGGTGGGGACAGGAGGGAAGGTCCCGGCGG